ATCAAAGGGATTAGTTTGGGTGTAATCTTTAAAATAAAATAATATATTATAAGAGATAAAATATAAAATAACTATAATATAATTTATTAAGTTAATTAAATTTTATATCTTTCTTTCTTATAGTATGTATACTTACATAGTTACCAAATGTAAACAAAACAACGAGATTCTAATTAAAGTGGATTTATATCACACCTGAACCACTCTGGCCCTAGGTAAGTAAATGAACTCTAATAAAATTATATATTTAACACAAAAGTGGTGTATAATTACAATATTCTTGGACTAAAATATAGAGTGCATGATTTGCTCACACCTTTTCTTTTTAGGTTGATTCTTCAATAAGAAAACATATACGTGAGGATTAATTTGCCTCAAGTGTGAGATTTTTTGTACTTATTAATTGATTATATAACTTTATATGTAGCTTTCTGGGATTTCTTTTCCTGTTTTATTTGTCGTACTTCTAAATTTGTATTTAATTTAGCTATAATAATTTTTTCCCTTTTCTTTTGTTAACTTAGAAGACAACTGGGTGATATTGGTGCCCATAATGAGCTAAGTTAGAAGATTATTATCCACTCAACTACATTATTAATAACGCTGTGGATTCAAATATATTTGTTAAAATATAGGATTTAAGTTATGTTATATAATCAATAGTTTATTTCAATTACAAAGGGTTAATTTTTTTTAACAGTAAATTTTTTATACATAAATTTTAAACTCGGAAATTATAGTTAAAGGGAATTAAACATGTGTCATTTGAATTAATATTTATAAAAATGTTACTTGATATTAAAATGATGCAATAAAAATAGTCATTTTTTTACAGATAATAGTTTATGATTTAGATAAAAAGAAGAAGAAACACTTACATATTAACAATTAACAATACAGTAGCTGTTTTCCAAGATGGCTAATAGAAGATTAAAAGAAGAAGCATATTGCTTATAAATAATTGATCTTTGTCCTGTCTTCAACATTGTCTTGGAACCATATGCTGCGGTTCTGCTTTTATTTTAACTTATATATTATCATGTGAAAGTTCATTTTGAAAGGATTGACATCATATAATTAGTATGAGAATCTGTTAGTGCGGTGTTGTGGGACAAGTTATAAATTAATTATCTGTTTTAGTTGCATTATTATATTAATCATAGTAATAAAATAGCCAAATTAGAAGTGTCTCTTGTCATTATTGTTTTAATATTTGGGTTTATCTTTTTGGTCTCATTCACTTTTCCACTTATTCTTCATGAAAGAGGGTGAAATCGTATCAAAGATGACGCTTATAGTTGGAAGGGAGAATAAGCTTTTCATTTGTTTCATGCAAATGAAAACATGGACTACAAGGAGTTTAAAAAGTAAACAATATTTATTATATTCAAATTTCAAAATTTATTTGATAAAATAATTGTATATAAATTGTAAATTTTAATTTTTAAACAATAATATTTTAAAAATTAATTTTTGTCATTATGGCACGTGGCTTTTTCTATATTAAACGTAAACACACGTTACTGATAATTATTTATATAAAAAATATATTATTATTTATTAATAAAATATAAATATTTGTAATAATGCATTTAAAACACCCATTAAAAATAATTGATTCTTATTCTGCCTAATCATAAGTTTAGACAAAACGACCGGAGTTGCTGGATAATGAACCATATTGATTGATTCTCGAACATTCATTGCCTCTCCTATGAAATTGTCAGACGCTTGAATGATATGAAAAATGTATTTATTGTACTTAGGAACAGCTTTAAATAATTGATTTAGAACTTTCAATTTCATCGTAGACGAATACTATATATTTTTAATAGGCTTAGTATTTATAATTATTGTTTGTATTTCAACTTCTGACATTAATAACTCAATTTTTAATTTCTTGTATTTTCTATTTTTCTATTAGTTTTTTAAATTTAAAAGTGTAGTCATTGTCTGTCACTGTATATGTTAGACGTTATATATGTCAGCTTTTTTTTAAAATTTTTTTAGTTTTGGCTTTCATTTTTTTTAGTTTGAATTTGAATTTTAAAGTTTGAAACTTTGAATCTCTGCCTCATATCCTGTTTTTCTTTTTATTGTCTAAATTTGTCCTTTTTTTTAAAACTTTTTTAATGTCACGTGTCTTTCTTCTTCATTTTTATTCTATTTTGTGTCTTTCATATTTTTTTAACTTGTTCTTTGGTACCATATTAAAATTTGAGTATTAGCTCAAAGAAAAATTGAAGAAGGCAATTGAACTCTAAGCTTGAGTGACTTATTTGTTTATAATACTTTAAGCAATTTAAATTTAAAGTCATCTTACTTATATACCTTTTAATTGGTTACTAACTTACAGAGACTTTTGTTTTTTAACATTCCTTTTTAAATCTAACTAGTTTTGACTTCCTTGTGACTTGCGTTTTCTTTTAACTTTGTTAAGATTGAATATAGGCTTAAATAATGCCCTTTAAGTATGAGTGGTTTGTTTGTCTAAAATGCCTTCAATAATTTAAATTTATAACCTTTTTTATTTAAAAATTTAAGTAATGAGACATGCATGCAAATAATCCTACATCAAGAGTTAGAATATAGCATATATATATATATATATATATATATATATATATATATATATATATATATATATATATATATATGAGCAAAAAACTAAAAAAAACACATATATTTGTGATTGCTAGCAACGCAGCCCACTGTTTCTTGACATGCATACATATATTATTAATCTTCTTAAAGGGTTTATTTGTTGACTAAATAGATGCGAGTCATGCGCTAATCGACCAATTATTAGTTTCCTTAACGTAATTAGGTGGTTTGAATAAAAATAATTAAGCTTTATAGGTTACATCGAAAAACTTTTCTGATGTTGCTCAAACTTCAAATTTATGATTAAAAAACATGACAAAACATAAACGACAACCACCAATATTAGTTATATGTAGGGAAAACGTGGTGAATGGTATAAACTACTGTAGATGATCCTGAGAGTAAGTTAATCATTTGATTATATATATTCTTTCAGAGAGAGTTGGAGATTTGTTCTAATCAATGTACAAAAGTGTTACTAATTATAACATTATTTCATGCATTATCTAAAGGAGTATCACATTACAAATCTAAAGTAGGGAAAGCTACATCTCTCTTTTCTTGCACGGAATTAATTTTGAGATGGACTTTTAGTAGCCTCTGTAGACCTAAAATATCTGCATTTTTTTGGTTGAATTATTTCATTTCAATGTGGCTAATAAGGACCAAACAATAAAAAAATAGATAATTATCCAAAGTTTCTTAAGCATTCACCCCTCGTTAAAATTCCAATTCCAATGTTATAGGAAATGAAATTTTCCTTCAAGGGGTAGAACCACATAAAATTTAATCAACTTCTTACTTTTAAGGTACCATGTACTATTCTAAACTAGAAGTTTTGTTTTGCTTTTTTCGTGCATGAGGTTGATAGTGTCTTCGGCGATGAATGAGGGTATAGTTTGATAGAGTAATATATATATAACACTTGCTTATACTATTTATAGGTGTTGGGTAGTAAGGAAATAAAAATAGCCCATATTGCTAATGTCACTAGCCTAACCTTCCCCTGAAATTACCTTTGTTGCCGTGTAATCACATGCAAGCATTCCATATATGAAAGACATGGTAGGACCAAGGAATGGTTTTGGAAATGGTGGCAAAATTAGGTGACACTATAAAGTACACCTCAAACTCTTAATGGGGAGTTATATATGTTGGCGAGGGTCTTGATATAATGAGTTATATGTTATATATCAAATAGGAGGGTCTATCTCAGATCCAAGTGATGGGGATTTTGGTTTGGGATGCCTAACACAGTATAGGAGATTGGTTCAGATGAAAGAGACTAACCAAAATAAATGCAAGACCAAATCAAGTGCAAACATGCAAATGAAGAATAAGGGAGAAGATGATTTCTACAATTCCCAGCAAAGAACACAGTGGCTGTTGAGGACCAAACAACACATTTCACTTTGCCAAATTCAATTTAGTAGGAATCTTGTGAAATATCAATTGCCACAAAAGCAAGAACATTAACAAGGATTAGTTTAATTGTTTTGTTGAAAATAAGGTAAATAAAAGAACTATAATTTTGTGAAATTATCAAGGGATCCGTTTCAACTAATCCTTACTCATAATATATTTCAACAAATGAAAGAATTCTTTCAAGTTCTAAGAACAAATCCTTTTCCCCATGCAAAGAGATCACACCTCTACCTATGCCTCCAGTGTCATACACCAATGATCTATTCTTCCAATCTTGATATTAGAACATTTGTATCTTCAAAAATGTTATAACGCATGTTTAAATACACGTTAAAATCTTGTGAATGCTTGTCAAATCCTCAAAAACCTATATATCATGCAACGTTAAACATGCGCATAGTATATTGAAAAAAAACAATCAAACATTTTCTCCTAATAAAAATTTCATGCTAAAAGAGAATAATACTCCTATTGCCTAACTTTCTTTAGTCCCATAATTTAGCCACCTAAAAGGAACATTGTTGCTAGAGTCAATACTGCAATTATCCTTCCATTAAAGAGAAACACACTTCTAATAAAAAAGCTTTAGTCTTTATCTATATTCACCCAAAATTTTAAAAAAAATCTTTATTTTTTTCAAATTTTAATCTCACGTTTTGTAAAAATCTTTAAAACAAACTTCGAATATAAAATATGAGCACTATTTTTTAAGTAAAAATACTTTTTAGAATATTCTCGAAAAGGAATGATACTAAGAATTGCTTTTATTTTCATCATGCCAAATTGTAAAAGTATTATTAAATGGAAGTGCTTCTAAGGATTAGCTTTTGTGATTGTGCCAAGTGAAATACATAAAATTAACTTTTAAGAGTGATGTTAATATTGTTAATGAATTAAACGTTAAAATAATTTGTGTTGATAAAGCAACTCAAAGATGGTTAAAAGGGACAAAAAAATAGTTGGGCATAAATGGGCCCATAAATGGGTTGGGTTGAAATGTTGAATGATTATGTGGGAAACAAGCGTGCATTGTGATGATGCTGTGTGCGGAGAAGAGAAGGCAATCATAGAGCTGAATGCATCTTTCTAGCAAAAACCAATTAGAATCTCACTCACTCACCCTCTTCTCTGCGCTTTTCCAATCTCACCTCGTTTCTTTCTCTCTTTCTTCCTTCACCTACCCACCCATCAGGCAAATCTTAACTCATACCCTGTGCCTAAGCAAAACGACACATACCCGTCGTTGTTCACTGTCTTACTCAGGTGCGCATAGCATAACGCATTTCCTTTGTTTTCTCTTTTTTCATTTCATTCTACATGGATATACCTTATAGAACCCTAACATTTAAAGCATTTGTTCAGTGTGTGGAATCTGAGTGCCAATTGATCGTTTGATTGCTTGTGTGTAATGCATCAATCTGTGAACTGTGTGTAGTTAGTTTTTGTCATAATACTCAAATGATGATGACTATGGATGTAATGCGTATGTCACATTTTTGGGATGCTTGTGCCCTCGAAACTTCATTGTTGCTGAATGAGAGTCACGGATTCACTTGGTTTGTATCAGGGATTTTTTTGAAGTTAGTGTATGCTTTTGATTCTTTTTATCTAGTTTTTCTCTAGATAAATATTGATAATACGGAACAGTGATATGTTTTCTCTTTTAAGTATGGTATGGATCTATTTGGGTCTGTTGATGTGTGTGACAATGAGGAAGTGTGATGATGCATATCCCATTTTGAAACATTCCGTGCTTTTGTTTTCTATTACTGTCTGTTCTGAAGTTGAATTGTTTTAGATGCTGCGGTGAGTTGATTTAGCTGTTGAATGTTGAACCATGTCACTAGTACTGATTTTGCTGAACCATCCGTTGTTGCTACAGGTGTGAAAGGTGAAAGCAGAGTGTGAATCTCAGATCTTGTTTTTAAGAGGCAATTCACTGTGTTGATTATTCTTGTGCATTGACTAATGGCTACCATGCTTCTATATCAGCACTTAGCAGATTATGGCCTACTGTTTTTTGCCATATCTATCTCAAGTTGCTCTCTCAACTTGATTGAACATTTCTAATTTATGCCATTTTACATGATTCTCTGCTTATTTTAGATCAATTGTAATTAAAAGAACCCACTCTCATCAAGGTACACTATCCCACCCTTGTGGGAAGACCCATGTAACTATGTACAATGCATATGTTAGCTCGACAATATATGCTGTTAGGTGTAAAGAATCATTCTCATTATCTTTTGGTGACTCCTCAAACTTCTGGCATGAAAGATTTGACCGAACCCCATCATACTGTTCGTCATGCTGTGGTTGTTGTGATTGCTGTTCACTCTCTACTTACAGAGTACCCATAAAGCCTTGTCTTCTAAGTGGGTTGAGACAATCCACTCTCCTTCAATTGCCAGCATCAAGAAGGTTAATTTTGGGTGGTGGGGACCGATACTTTTCCCGGCTACCAGCTTATGGTCTCCTCAGAGGTTATGAGCTTAGTTGTTTAGCCATTGATGAAACTGTTTGCAATAATAGTAGAATGAAATTAAAGGGAAAATGTATTCATGCAGCCTCACGAAAAGGAAGGGAAATTTCCCATTCAGTTGCTTCTGACGATGCTGAAGCAGTTCTCAGCTTTTTGAGTGAGGAGGCAGATAAGGATGCTATTTGTAGCAAATGTAAGTGTGTATCTTCCCCCAAAAGAATAGAAGCTGAGAAGAAAAGAAAAAATGTGAGTAGAGAGAGACATTTGAGTTTGACTGAGAAAGTAGAAACAGATAAAAAAGGAAATCTTAAGCAACATGAGTCATCCACCATAGACTTGAGAGGAGAGCATAAAAAACCCAACAAAGAAAAGGAAGCCTTTACAAAAGGGGAAAACCATAGGAAACGAAGAGATGTGTCCAGTTGTTCGTCTTATTATTCTCTTTCATCTGGAGATTTTGGGAGTGAACAGGAAATTCAGGATGATATTGGTTTGGAAGAATGGTCACTGGGATATAAGAAAGATGAAGCAAATCACATGGAGGGACAAATGAAGGAAGAATTCAACAAGCAAGTGGATGCTTCAAAGAACCTGCAGGATGTTTCAAATAAGGAAAGAATTGCGTTTGGTGCGGATATTGATTGGAACCAAAGGAAGAAGTCTGAAAAGATGCTGGCTGGGGGAACTATAAAAGAAACAGAATCAAGCAGAGAACACCAGGATATGCATTCAAGAGGGTTTAGAACACATGAATCTGGTTATCAAAAGGCATCTATTTCACAGAAGCGAGTCAGTAGTGAGGAGGATAAATCATCTTTTGTTGACAATTTGGATAAGAAAACAAACAAGGCATATATTCTAAAAGTAAACAGAAGAAAGCATCAATCTACAGATGTACAAGAGTCTGGTTGTGATGAAGTTGAGACAACTTTGTTATCACGTAAGGAGTTCAGAGGTGGGAAAGGGAACCTGGAGATATCAGAAACACTGTTAAAGGAAACAGATGATGAACATAAAAAATTTGTTGGTTCAACATCTACCACAGGAAAGGAAACTTTGAAATTGAATAAGGCATTCAGTGGCAGGGAAGGGAACCTTGCGATATCAGAAACACTTTTACGAGAAACAAATGATAGACATAAAAAATTTGATGATTCCACTACCTCAGGAAGAGATGTGATAGGTAGAAGTTCCCAGAGATATACTGAAAATTTAAAAACTGAAGACACTGAAAGGACCTCAAATGCTAGGATGAAGGACATCGGAGTGAAAAAAGTTTCAGTTTTGAGTTCTGTTTTGGGATTGGAGGAGCAGCAACACCAAAAAGGAGAGATCGTCAGACAGGCTAACGATAAAGAGGGAAGGAAAAAGTCTCAAGAATTTTCTGAATTATCACAAGCTCATGAGACTAATGTTGATACATCTATCAGAAAGTCTAGAACTAGAATAAAGGACTGGGAAGAAAAATTGAACATAAGTTCAGATGCAAGGGGTGCATCACTCCAAATAGATAAAAGGACAAATCAGAGTTTCCAACACAGGAAAGGATATGAACTTGCCAGCAATTTTTCAGAAAGTTATGTGAGTGATGGAAAGCAAGTTTCAAGTTCTCAACAAACTTCTGAGAAGGTGAGATTCATTCCAAAAAGTAAATCAACACCAGTTGTTAAAACTAGAGAAAGTTCTTGCCAAACTGATGAAAGAATTGCAAATTTTGAATTGGCTGGAGTGGACCAAAGACCTAGGAACCTTTCAATTTCTGGTGAAACTGTCTCAAGAGAGGAATCTGACTCCCAGGGATCATTGAATTTGGTTTCTGAGGCTGGAAAACATGTTACATTAGTAGTAGGTGATGAAAGGAGCTCTGCAACAATGTTTATCCCGTCCTCTTCCCACCAAATGGGTAAGAGCTCAGTGCATGCCGATCACAGTGCTGGAATTGCTAGCCCTGAGATCTTCCTTGAAACATCAGAAAACGGGTCTTCTGCTTTGTCTGATAATTCAGGAAGAAGTTCCACTTTGCATCGAGATGCTCTTGGTTCAGCTGATCGTTTAGAGAAATCATCGAGACTGTTTGTTAATGAGTTTGTTGAGAGGGTCAGACATGAAGTAACAACTTCAAAAGCACAAGAGATGGAAGTTACTGGAACAAAGTTGGCCCTTGAAGTTGGTGGTAATCAGATCCACAGCTCAGTGCCACAAGACACTCAGAATGGCTCTCAGTCAAAGGTGCATGATTCTAGTAGTTCCTCTGGATTTCCTGCGTCCAAAGGACCTTCTGATGAGATGTGGGATGTGACTCAACCATCTATTGAGCAAGGTCTAGTAGCTGAAGAACCAGAAATCAGCAAGGAAACTGGGAAACCAATTGTTAATAGAACCGGAAGGTCCTTATGGAGTATGATTGCTGATATTGTTCGACTGCGTTGGGGATCACGTGCTGGTTCCTCCTCTTCAGCTGGAAGATCAGGTGAGAGAAACTCATCAAGCAAGTCTGACAGCGAGACATGGTTTTCTGGGCAGGAGCACGAGGAAACCGGTAAAGGTAATGTAATAAAAGAAACATCTGTGCTAGCACAAGCCACGGCTTCTGATAAGTCAAAACCAGGTAAACGAAATACCCTAAGTGAGGGAGAGATGTCTGACTCTACAAAATTGAAGGACAAAGGAAAACATCTTGAAGTTGGATTGTCTTCTCCAAATGCATTGGAAAGTGGATCAATGTCAGTGGGCATCTCATATGCTTCTGGGGAGGAAAATGCTAATTGGACTGAAGATAAAAAAGATTTGGAAGTCACTACTTCTGGCACTCAAAACATGGAATTACCAATTTCATTACCTGCCAGAGTGCCTCCTTTTGTAGGAGAAATTGTAAATATCAGTGGAACTGACATGCCTGGAGCTGAGCCAGTAGTGCAAATCAAGTCACCTGTTGTTTCAGTGCAGTCTGAATTGTTTGGCTCAGAGAGAAAGGATGGAGAGTTGAAGCAAAGGAAGTTTCAACGGAATAGGCAAGTCTTAAGAGATAGGTTTGATGATTGGGAAGAAGCCTATAAACTTGAACTTGAGCAGCGAAGAATGGATGAAATGTTCATGAAGGAAGCACTTTTGGAAGCTAAGAAGGCTGCTGATACATGGGAAGTTCCTGTTGGTGCTGTTCTTGTGCAGCATGGGAAAATTATTGCTCGAGGGTGCAACTTGTAAGTGTTATGATATTATTTCATTCTTTTTAATTGGCTTGGTTTTTAATTTATGTCAAATTATCTGTTTCAGAGTGGAAGAGTTACGGGACTCCACTGCCCATGCAGAGATGATTTGTATACGAGAAGCTTCAAACCTTCTTCGGACATGGAGATTATCAGTAAGTTTTCCTCAATGGAAATTGAAAGTTATTTTGATATTACAGCCAAAGTTTAATATTCACTTTATGTTTCTTTTACATTATTTTTAAGTTTTTATAACTAACTTAACACATGGCAATATTCTACCTCTTTTATGCTAAAGACATTGATAGCTCTGCAATCTAATATCTATTTTTACAGAATACCCAGTAAACCTATTGAAAGGAACCAAATGCTTGTTATCTATTTTATAAAAATGAATGATAAGTAAATCATAGTAGTCAATAGCGGAAATAGCGGCCGCAATTGCGGCGGAGCGGCCCTTTCCCGCAACAGCAACTTTGTCGCGTCGCGTTTCACAGTAGCGGCTGTCGCGCTGCGAATAGCGGCGGAAAACACCGAAAATAGCGGCTGGAGTGGCCGCTATCTCATTATCGCACGTTTCCCCTTTTTGCCCCTCATCTTTTACTGTTAGGGCCTTTAAGGGGGGGCAATTTTGGAATTTTGACCTCCCCTTATATTTCTGAATCATCTTCTTCAACCCTAGCCTCCATCCATCTGCTCTCCTCTCTTCTCCCGTCGGTTCTCTCTCCTCTGTTCTTTGTTTTCCGGTCATCCTCTGTTCGCTGTGCTCTGTTTTTCTGGCGAGACTTCCACTTGATTTTCTAGTCATCTTCTTCGTCTCCGGCAAGCTTCTAAGGTGACCCAAATTATTTTGAGTCATTTTCTTCATCTCTTCTCATCTTCTTCAAGGTCAGCACAACTTTCCGGTCATCTTCTCCAACTCCGGCAGACTTTCGGCGAACTTTCTGGTATTGAACATTTTTTTTTCCTATATTTTTCTCTGTTTTTTTTTTCTCTTCTCTGTTTGGATTCTTTTATTATTTCCTATATATATATGTGTGTGTAATTTAATTTATGAGTATATTTATAATACCTAAAATAGCGGCCATCCCGCTATCCGCTATGCCGCTATAGCGTTTTTGAGGTCGGCCGCTCCGCGCCGCTATCCGGGATTGATTATTATGAAGTAAATAGCATATCATACAGTGAAATGCTAGCAACATACTATTTTTAATGCACAGTTATTAGATAAAATTTATTGAAAACTACAAAAATCATGTGGGTTCTCCTCTTTCTCACTCTTTGATTTAATGATTCTTTTTCATACTTTTGTAATTCTTAATAAATTTCAGCCAATAATTAAGAGTTAAAGGAGTGTGTTTCTAGCACTGCTCTACCACTAAAATGCCTACTTGCCTAGTAGACTTGTGTTGGGAGCCTTTGTATTGTCAGCAGTGGGATAGCCAAGATAGTCTTTGGCTGGTTTTATAATCTTCTAAAGGTTTATATGGTACTGCTAATTTCTACTATTATTTCTTTATTCATGTTGGAATGGCTTAATAGTTGTATAGCTTGCTGACTTTGGTGCACACTTTTCCGTAGGAAAAGTTTACTCAATTTCAATACTCAGAGTCTACTCTAAAGTGACGCCAAAGTTCTGCCTTCTGGGCTTACCATAAACCATTTATCCATCTTACACTTCTTGATTTTCCTATGCCTTAACTCAGTTTCAATTCCTAGTCTGCCTGCAAGATTATGATACTTCCCTCAGAAAGTATATCAATACATATTTTCCTGTACGCTGTTCACCAGATTTCACACCTTTATTTTAGGACATGAAAGATCTATCAAAAATCAACTGTGAAATTCGGGGCTTTTTATTGCATGCCTATGATTAAATATCATTAGATATGTAGTGCCTTTCATCCTGCATATCACTGATTAAACTATTGAATACTCTTTATTTTTACTTAACAATTGTTGGTTGCTAGGCAGATTTGTTGATGGGAATTGATAATTACTAATAGGAGCAGTCATGTATTATTAGATGTAAGTGTAAATATTAACTGTCATGTTGGCAGTTATGGGTACACATTACTAGAATATGAGAGAATAATTTATCCTAACTTATTTGTTCTGTATTAGAATTAGAAACTGCCTTGATGACAGTTATTCATATAAAATGACTGATGGCAGTTCTGAGGTTTTGGTATATTTGATAGTAAGGTGTGTAGTTATCAGAGGTGGGTTATCATTTGCAGTTTGTGGACAGAGAATACTCTCTGTAGGAGACTTTTGTCTCTGGGACCGTAAGTGTATTGCTGTATTGAGTGTGATTTCTGTATTCAGTAGTATATTTTTATGTTTATCAGTTGGTGCTCTATCATTTTTTATGTGGTATCATTACCTCAAGAGGAAAGCTTATTTGTACATATGCCATGGTGGATATCACGATCAAAACAAATTCAACTTAATATTAGCATGATAAATTCATGTTTGAAGAGGTCGCAGTTTCTGAAACAAAATAACATTCAGATCATATTACTTAAATAAATTTAATAAATCTGTCACTTCCTACTTTTTTTCTAATGATTGATGATGTTAAAAACCCTGTCAGTCTGTTATGGATTATGGTAAGTTTTATTTGATTCAAGGAAATTCATTAAGAAAAAAGAGAAATACAGAGATAGGAGGATATCCTTGATAAGAAAAATACTAAGAAAAAAAAATAAAAATACAAAGAAGTGAAAGAACCAGAAAAAAAAAAAGCTCAAGAAAATCAGTGCACAATGGTTGGCCAATATATGGAAATCTGAAATGAAAACATTCTCAAATGAACCAGAGTCAAACGCCAAATAGAAGCAAAACTAGATTACTTTATAATCTATTGCCTTTACGTTTATTTCATATCAATAAATATGGTTGAAAAACCCTATTGTGGTAACTATCTAACCAATATGTCAGTAAAAATAGAGAGAGAATTTCACTATAATTGTGTGTTTAATCACCCAAAGCTATATTTGGCAAAAGGGAATTTGAGTAAAATAAAAGTAAATAATTTTTTCTTTTATTTGGGCTTACCTGTAGTCACGGTAGATGAATCATTTCCCTCCTTGAATTCTTTCTTACTGAACATTGCTTGAAGGATCACTTAATAGGTTGGTGGTTCATTTGTTTAAGGACAAAATTTTCCAACTTTCAGGATACTACACTTTATGTAACGCTTGAGCCGTGTCCAATGTGTGCTGGTGCTATCCTTCAGGCAAGAATAGATACTCTTGTGTGGGGAGCTCCCAATAAGCTTCTTGGAGCTGATGGTAGCTGGATTAGGTATGCTGTCAACGTGCTTATTTGTATTGCTTATAATTTTGTTGTTACAAGGGCATGGTAGTCTTTTGGTTTATCAGTGTGCATGAATCTTTACCACCTATATATATGGTAGAATTGGTCTCTGCGTACCTCTATTTTTTATTTTGTTATCTTTGATTAAATTGTTCATGCGATACACTGTGTTAAGAAGAGGGATTGAGCACATTCATATTGCATAAATTATTATAATAGGAAGAGGACTACAATATCCTAAAACATTATTCATATCAAACGGCATTTGGTATTCAACTACTATCAGCCTGTGTGTTTACTTTATGAAACCAAATTTACAGTTTTTAAGACCAAAAAGCACGTTTCAACCGAGGTTTGCTGAAAGGAAAAAAATTTCAATTTTATAACGAGGTTTGGCACACAAACATTCTCTATATGGTCACTGTAAAAATTTAATATGTCAAATCCCATATATATATTGATCCGAGACTTAGTTGATGACCCTATAAAACATGATTTTTACATTTCATGTTGTATAGATGACATTTCTACATACAATCCCATATTCAACATCTTTATACGTGAAAGATTCCCCCAATTTACTTTTTTCAGAACATTATATGTTGCGTTTCTTGACATGTAATTGAATTAAAACTTTAGTAGGGCAGGGGTTTTCAATTGTTTTCCTGACTGGAGTTGAGTCTATTTTGGGAAATTTTATTGAAGGCTCAGTTCGTCAAATATTACAGTTCGGTCTTGAACTTCTTTTGCAGGCTTTTCCCCGATGGAGGAGAAAATGTATCAGATTCATCAAATATACCACCTGTCCCAGTTCATCCATTCCATCCAAAGATGAAAATAAGACGAGGGGTCTTAGCCACAGAGTGTGCAGAAGCAATGCAGCAATTCTTTCAGCTAAGAAGGAGAAAGAAGAAAGAGGAACCACCAAAGGACCCCTCTCGCCTTCCTGTTACTCACCACCATCCCTCCAAGTTCCTTAACAAGATACATCACATCTTCCACATTATGTTCTGTTTATAAAAGGGCAGATTCACATATTTCCTCATGTTTTAAACGAGCATCTGAATAAAATATTCAAACATTATGAATAATCATCGTGAAAAGTAAGTGTTCAATCTAGTCGTATTCGATCAGCTAAGATGTCATGGACAATAATTCATTCGTTGCCAAACCACTGTTGCCAACTTCAATTTCAAGTGATGACTTCAAATGCTTAAGATGATGACAAGAATCCAATGATATAGTGGAGCCTGTCTATTATCATTGTTTCATTTATTTGGAAAGGGTGGATTAGGGAGTAATTGAGATCGCTTGCAAGAAACAGAAATCTAGAGTATGTACAACTATTGAACTGCAGATAAAGCATCACAATCACGTTGGTATGTTGAACCATCAAATTTTAACAGAAAGTGATAGAGACCTCGTACTTACATACAGGTCATGAGTAGACAATAGTTGGTGAAATAATGTCCTCATTTGCATGAAGCCTTTTATTCCTTCTGCCTTGCACCACCCTCCATCCACCCAACCTTTACCTTCGTAAATATGACAATTAGGTCTGCTTAAAATACAAGTTAGGCCCTAACCATAATATAAACTTTGAAGGGATTTGGTATTAAGTCTAGAAATAAAGTATATAAGATGTCAGGGCCCTTAATGCAAATGAAGCTAATTGTTAAACGTTCCTTGTTAGATGATTAAGGGTGATGTCACAATCACATGAAGGCTACATCCCTCCTTTCACAGATAATCCATACATTTCAACCTTCTGCTTTGTCATAGACCATAAATAAGAAGCAAACTCCCTCCAGTCTCCACCAAATCCAAACAAACAATGGCTGCAACGTTATGGGCTTTGGTTTTGGTAAGCTTCTGCTGCCTCCTAGCTTCCAATGCCCAAGCACCAGCAACAACACCAGCAAAGTTGCCTCCTACAACCCCAGCTGCAACTTCCCCATCTTCTGGCACTCCACCAACAACCCCAGCTGCAACTTCCCCAACTTCTGGCACACCACCGGCAGCAACACAACCACCAACGGTAGCATCATCCCCTCCCACAAGTCAACCACCACCTACAACCCAACCACCTGCCAATGTGGCTCCCAAGCCTGCTCCTGTGACACCACCAGCTCCCAAGGTTGCACCTGCTTCAAGCCCAAAAGCCCCACCACCTCAAATTCCACCACCCCAACCGCCAAAAATTTCACCTGTTGTAACTCCTGCATCGCCACCACCACTAACACCACCACCTGTTGCTTCACCACCACCATTACCACCACCAAAGATATCCCCAACACCAGCTAAAGCACCACCAGCCCCTGCACCAGCAAAGGCAACCCCAGCCCCTGCACCTGCACCCACAAAGCCAGCACCAACACCATCGCCAGTTCCTTCACCGCCAGCACCAGCACCCGTAATAGAAGTACCAGCACCAGCACCATCCCACAAGCATAGGAGAAGACATAGGCACAAGCATAGGAGACATCAAGCACCAGCTCCAGCCCCAACAATTATTCGCAAGAGTCCCCCAGCACCACCTGATACCACAGCAGATGCAGACACAACACCGGCACCAGCACCAAGTCTGAATCTGGTAATATCTTTGACCAGTGAAATATCAAATTACATTACAGTTATATACAATTGTGAATCAAATTCACTAAAACATCTCATCAGCATCGCATTGTTTTGACCATCTCGTGTTTCTTTTTTGGTAATTCTTCACAGAATGGTGCACCATCAAACCACCAGCATGGGAGAAACATATGGACGACAGCTGGACTTGCTATTGCTGTTTTGCTAGCTGTCACTAGCTACAGCTGCTAGCAATCTCGTAGTGACCATCGTTTGCTCTGAGGAGTTATTGAGTTATTTGGTTTGCAAAATATAAAATCATTTCACGTGTATAGATCTTAATTATGAGAATCTATACCTATGATTCTTTCTTTTTATTTTTGTTGTGATCTTTGCTCACAAATATTAATGGATATGAATTTTTGAATTATGGAAATAATCAAGAAATGTCACATAAAGATCTCTACTTGTGAGCTATTACATCAAACTTGATCAATTTCTGAGTCCATGTTTATTTTCTCCCGAAAGTCATACTCCGTAATAAGTCCAAGATTGTCAACTAATTTGTGATGCCGTAGACATCCTGCACACTAAAAAGATGAAATTCCAATTTTACTTGCATAGAATAGTTGTAAACACCGTTTGAGATATCTATCAGGATTCAGGACCAATATAATGCATGAGAAAATAGTATGGCCATCAATAAGATTTTGAAAAACATAAGCATGCATACCAAAACAAGAAAAAAAAGGTAACCATAAAACTGGCCACAAGACCATCAGCACAAATGAACTTTAACACACTTGCATTCAAGGTCCAATATATTACCAATTATATGAGTCATTCAACTTTCAGAAGCTGACATGCAGGATGCAGCAATGCAATCCAGTAACTTTCTTTGTATGATGAGCACCAAACTCAAATCTCAGGAGAGGATAGATATATGGGAATTTGACTTTCTTTTCTTGCAGGCAAAAATTGGTGTTCCATTTTAATATTTTACAGAATAAAGATATGGTGCACATTAATATGCTACATAAACATAAACGGGGAACAATGTAACAAGTTGCCAATGACAAAGGTAGTCTTAAGATCCGCTAGACCATGCATCTATATATTCTGAGAGAAAACCAAACGGTTGTTCTAAAATCCAGTATTTCTGCTGCTTTGTTCTTAAACAGGGAAAAGTTGCCAAATTCAGCACAAATAAAAATGTAAAACTCATTCCGTATTTCATCCCTAAAGAAATAAGTCAGAATACTAAATTATATGCAAATGTCAGGAAAATGAAAGTTAAGTTTGAGCAAACAGCTTACCAAGTTATAACACATCAAGCAATCACTAACAAATTTGTTATGGAAAATTATATACATGCTGTAATGTATGTCATACTCTCATTGTCTGTAATTTATATAGCATGTGAATGCAGGGGGAAGTAGAGAAGAGCAAATGACAATTATGAAAGGAAAAAAGTTTGCTACATATAGTATAATAGTACAACTGACATAACTTAGGCAGCAAAAGTAAAGTTGAGCAAGGGCTAGACCACATTAATTAAGCATAATAAAATTATATTTATTCTATCTCTCTTTATACATATATTAACTATAACTGTATAAGGAAATCTATGGACTTAGGCAACAAAGGTAAAAATGAGTAAGGGCTACACTACATGAACTATACATAACAATTATATTTAATTGCTCTCCTCTCTTTGGGCATATATACTGTGAGAAGTGGTTTATTATGACAGTGAGAAGAGTACATCTGGACTGTTGGATCATGCATGTGTGGTCAAGATTAGAACATAAAACATGATATATTTGAAGGGGTTATCTTTATAATTCTAACCATCCATGCAAGATCCAATGACCAAGATCCAGTTCTCTCACTTCTCACATCTCTCACTTGATGTGTCCCCTTTGTGTGTGTATGCAGTATGAATTATGTCAAAAACTACACCATATGTCATATTTAACCCTTGGTCTTTTCCTCAATTATCAACTCCATTTATGTTTCTATTTGCTTTCATAATGTTATTATATTACCAAAATTGTGACTCTACAGGAAAGCAGATATCCTCTCATTTTCATTTTTCTTTGTCATATTCTATAAAGCAGAAACCACCAACTGAACATAAGATGATAGCAAATGCCATTCACTGAAACAACTATGTTAAGCTTTCTCGAAACATTAAGAAACTATCTATTTCGTATTTGCAATTTATGGGGATTGAAAAACAAAGTAGCCCTTCTTCAAAATTTATGTTGGACAATGCCTAGGGCCATACATATGACGTCAATTATCAGACTAAGGTTCCAGCAGCTCCTGTGGTACATGTTTTAACCCCTCCCTCAAGGGAAGATCCCAGACCCAATTCCTCTGTCCCACTTACTAGGTAGAACTCATATCATAACCATATAAAAAAAGTAAAAGATTAATAAATATTGTACAAATTCTAATAATAAAAATATCATTAAAAGAAAAAGGAGGAAAAATTTAAACTACCAGCTTCTGGACAATGTTGTTAAACAAAAATATTCATCGTATTTGACTATGTGTTCACTAAAAGATTCAAGAAATAATAGATACCTGTACAAAAACAGCACCCCTTTCATAAGCTAATCGGTTTACAAGCCTCTTAGTTCTTTCACCACACAAGTCACATGTAAATTGTACAAGCAAACTTCTTCTTGGAAGACTTAGGTCAATACTAGCACCCTGCACATAAAGCATAACTAGAATATCAATATCAAAGAAATAAAGACAAAAACAAATATTTGTTCATGCTTGATCTCCACCAACCAGAGAAAGACATGATTAAGATTGTAAAAGTTTATCAAAGAACTAAGTTGCTTTCAGAATATCATAATGGAGGAAATTAATTGTTACTTTCTTATTCTAGATACACAACTACATAAAGAAATGATTGACATTTATAAGAAAAATAATTAAGTCTCAACCTGCTAGGTAGGGAAATGAATTGAGAGACATACAACAAAAACAGATTAGCCTTCCTAACGAAAATATTTGAGGACAGAAAAAAAGTGAAAATATGGTCCTACCTCTAGTTTTTTTTTTATGAGACACTGTCTAGAAGGTTTTAGTAACTCTTATTATAAGGCATTTTACAATTCCCACGGAACATTTATTTATTTTTCCTATTTGTCCTTGATGAATAGAGTTGGTGGGAACCGTAAAGTAAAATCAGTAAGAGAAGGAGCAAATTTTCGAAGTTAAAATGTGGATAGCGAGATTAAGTTGAAAGATACCAAACGAGGATAAAATTGACATATTAAAATACTTTTTTTGAAAAATTAACTAACTTCAATTGCTTTTACTTATTTTTGTAAGTTAGTTAAAGAAGCCATTAAAAAAAAGGGAGTAACATTTTTGTAATTAATTATTAATGAAAACGTAATAGCCAACCAAATTTGTTTTCCATATAACCTGAGTCTGAAAAATTCAGAAATTAAACGCTATAAATTATAGTAACTCAGTTTACAACATATATAAACCAAAAATGTTACATGTCACCCTCTCCATCAGAAAAAGCAAAAATTAACTCCATAACATAACAAGCAAAACATTTTTTCAATTACAGGAAAAATAATAATAACAAAAATAAATAAATAAATAAATAAATAAATAAAAATTCACTAACCGCTTCTTCAGAATTGTTTGATTCTGGTTGTGGGGCAGTGACAGAATCATCACCCACTAACCCTTGTGCTCTAAAAGCCCGACGGGGAAGCCTTGGTACTACCACTGCAACAGATGCACCAGAAAACCTTGACCTGAAAGAAAATATGTTTAGGTTCAAATTGAAATTTAGAATTATGGAATGGAAAGACAGAAACTTTAAAAGAAAAAAAAAAGTGGGGAACAAGAGCAAGGGATTTTTTATTGAAAACCTAACCTAATTGAAGGAGGATTGAAGCCGGGGAAGTGAATAGGTTGGAAAGAAGAGAGAGGACGAAGGAACAGAGAGGCACAGTAGTGTGTGCCTGCCGCCATTGCTATCTTTCTTAGGCGACTCAACTCTTCTTCCACGCATCAAATAATAATAATAATAATAATATACTTCAAGTAATTTTTTATTATAAATAATTTTTCATACTTTAATTAAATTATAAATTTAAATAAAATAAGAAAATGTATAAAATTTAAAAAACGTTAATTTCAATCGTTAAACTTATTTTAAGTAATTAAAAATAACATTTTTTGAAATATTTATTACAATAAAAATATTAATGGCATTTTTAATAATTTTTATTAATTTTAAATAATTCATATCGATTTTAAAAATTAGTGTTCACAAAATTAAAAATATATAATTAAATGCTAATTAATATTTTATTATTTATTTATTATCTTTCATTAGAAATTATATTAAAGATTATATGTTAAAATTGAAATAATTTTATATAAATATATTTGTTTTCACAATTTTTATTTTATTTAATACATGATATAATCTTTTTATTAAACTATATTTACTTATTTATTTTATTTTCTATCTTTAGTTAATATTTAAAATGCTTAGTTAAATATATATAAAAATGCTTCTTTTAGTATTTTATAAAATTAATAATATATAAAATACTTATTATTTCTCTATTTAATTAGAAATATTATTTAAACATATTACTATCACAGAAATTTACTTCAAATAGTTATTTTTTTCACCACAATAGTATTTAATTGTTGTCAATACGTTTAAACTGACATTGTAATCCCTGAAATACGGCCATAAAAATAATCTCTTTAATTTCAATCCATTCACACATTACACGTAGAAATAGTGTTCTAAGGGAGACGAAAATGGAAACTTGTGTTTATTGCATTAGTCCAAGGGATATAAATAATATTACAGTGACATGTGAACTAGCATTACACATTTAATAAAAATAAATATGAAAAAATATTTTTTAATATGATAAAAGAACTTTAATAATATATTTGTGTGATATTTAATTGTTATCTTCTCGTCTCATTAAATAAGGCATTCTAAGATAACATTTTAAAAGCATTATCCTGAATTTGATTATCCTAAATATACTTTAGAAGCACATTTAGGATAACACTTCTTTAAAGAAATGCTACTTTCTTTGAAGAAGTGTGTGTATGTGTTTCTTAAAAAACTTGCCTTTGCTCAACTTTTGACCTTTCTTCACCATCAAAATATTTGTGCATGCTTATGTTCTTCTTTCATGCCTCACTACAAACGCCACCACCACATAACCATCATGTTATCACTTCTTGTTCCAAACTGGTGATACCATAGATCAACTCACTTTCAGCTTAATGCAACCATAAATCCTTCAGACTTGTAGATATGAATGAGAACTCAAAGCATTTGTTCCCTCTAATGCTAGATATTGTCTGGTTTGAGCATTCCCTATTTCAAATTTAGAATGCACAATTGGGTTTCAAAGAGGAAAATGAAGAAGCCAACAATGTACTAAATTAAAGTTAGACCCTTATAGATCCATAAATCCAACCACATGTACATCCATAAACTCATGTTTGTCACGCCTAGGCCTCCCACTAGGGTGACACTGTCCCAAACTCAAATAAATGGGTCCAACAATGCCATCTCTTTCACTGTAGCACCAATCTTCAAATTCTGCTGACAACCATTAAACCCTTTGCATCACACTACCTATGGTTACCCCAATTCCCTCATCAGCCACAACCAGCTTAAGGATCCATGCAACTAGTGAGAATGTTTAACCCTTTATTCCTATTCTTCTAAGCCCCTCATTTGTGATCTCCCAGGTAGTCAACATCCTTGTTGAAGTGCACTTCTTTGACTAACCTTTGACTCAAAAATATAACTTACACAGATATTATCTAATCTATTATTGAACATAATTAAAGATGCACCTTATAACAACGTTTCTTTAAAGAATTTCTATTGAAGATATTAGAGATCAACCTTTTAATATCACTTCTTTAAAGAAGCACTACTATAACTAAAATTAACTCTTTAAAATTGTTTTCAAAGAAGGGCTATTAAGTATTTACCTATAATTAACATCAACTCTCTTAATAATATTCCTTATTTTTTTGTGCGGTTTTAATAATATTCCTCTAATTATAATTAACATTAACACCTTTGAAAATATTTGTCTAAAGAAACGTTTTTAAAATACTTACATTGGATTACCTTTGGAAGAAGTGTTATCTGTTTTTTTTTTTTTGGTATTTTTATAGCAGATTAACGAGGAAATGCTATTTTTTTTAGAGACTATGGAAAGTAAAATATAGTGTATTGTTGATTTCAAAGTATATTATTGTAATAATTATTTTAAAAATTTGCACCAAATTACAAGATCTATAATTTGTTAACCTAATGTGTCGTTAACAATCACAAGTAGTTGTTTCTACGATACAAGTTAAGACCATTATTTTGGCATGTAGCGATCAGCTTTTTGCTTTCTTATATTTTTTTCTTTTCTTTTGGTGAACAGCTTTTTGCTTTCTATGTTTGAGGAATAGTTTATTGTTCTTGTTAATTGTTGCATCTTAATATCAACTTCCAAGTATTTCCGTACTAGTCTTCATAATTTATCTTTTCTCATCTAAGTTTGGAAATGCTTTTTGATGTATTTTCAGAACGATTTTCTGAGATGATCTTTGTGAATATGAAGTCAAATTTTACTTTAAAGGACTTCAATTTTAAAACGTTAAAGCACATCAATCATTGTCATAAAAATAAGTTGGCTCCAAAAGTTAATTCAATGAGTGTGCATGGTTCAAATTATGTAAAATCATGACTTTTATTTTAAATACAAAATCGCATACAATTTTCAAATTATTTAAATTTTAAAGATTTCTTTTATTTATCTGTTTTTTCTAATTGCAAGCTCGTGATCCTTTGGTTTTCTGCCACTTTTCAATATGATTTTCCTTTATTTTCCTATCTCTCGCAAAGATTTACTTTTTTTTTAAAGATGTTCTTTATTATAAAGTAGATGCATTGTCTGATAGACTAAAATGTAGGCAAAATTGCGTGGTTGGGATTTGATCTTAGGAAGAAATAGTCTCCAAAAGACCGTTTGTCAATTGAAATGTTTGTCCTTATATTTGATGCAAACATTAGGTTATTTAGTACGAAAGTGTTAGGACTAAAGTTCTTACTAATATTTTATAATTGATTATAGTTATGGCAAAATATATACTATTTGCATTAGAATGGGACATTTTTGGGGTTTTTCTTTTATACATGTAAAGTATATTTTTGAGATAAGTATAAAACAAAAATAAACATAATAGTATACAATATATATGTGATTCAAATAAATAATTGTAATAAAGAAGAAAATGATTTAAAAATGAATTAGTAAAAGGCAAAAGGTACCAAACTTCTTTTATTAAATTTTTTAAAAGAAAAATAGTACTAGCAGAGCATCTCTCATATACTTTACACGTTTTTTGTTATTAGGTAAAGTTTATACTGTTTTTTGTTAAATTATAAATAATAAAGGTAACTAATTAAATAGAGAGTATAATTTACATTAATTTCTCCATAATAAAAAATAAAATGAGTATGGGTTTATTATATGTTTTTCTTTCAATGCAAATTCCCTTGTATATTCTACATTTAGAATATGTAATTTTTTATGGGTTTTTGTTAACCTTAATCCTTAAGGCTGGATTTAAATATCTACAAATAAAAAGTTTTTATGAAAAAAATACATAATTATTGTATTGAAATTATAAAAATATAATAATTGTTTCTCTTTCTCATAAACTTTTATTATTATTAGTTATTTATTCTCAACTTTAAGAGTTGAGATTAATAAAACTCATTTTTTATTTCATATATTTTGTAGTATATAAGTAAACTCTAATAAATGTTTAAAAGGGAAGGAAATGATGTATTTTTTATTTAAAATTAAAAAAAAATCTATATCATTAAAGATAGTAAATATATGGTTAATATATTAATTTTATGTTAATATATTAATTTTATGTTAATATATTATTTTATAAATTTTTTAAAAAATATTAATTTTAATATATTTATTTAAAATACAAAATTTATTTTGATCGTTGAATTTTTAACGAGCAACAGGAAAATCTAATCGAATAAATTTATAGGAATATAATTGACAAGAGAATTAGAGAGCTCTCAATTCATTTGGGATTTTGTTTATGGTGTTTAGGACCTTCTCAAAGTGCAAAGTGTAGGAAGAAAGCTCAAAACTGTGGCATGTGATGCTGAAGTAGAGAAATGAGATGCCTTATCACCTTTAAATATTTTTAAATGACAATTAATAATTAAAAATGTTATTAGTGTTTCTTTAGTCAGATAAATAAATAGATAAATTGATAGGTTCCCTTCAATTGAGATTTGATTCATTTAATTCAAAATCCATTTAATAGAAGTACAGAATGGAGCAACCATTTAGCCAGCACGATAACTTTGGTGGGTTCATGATAACTGTAGATGATTAAGACTACACCATGATGACAACATTGAAATTTTGTCATACAACAGAATATTGTGACATATTTTTTTCATTTTTATAGAAAATGTTTAAGAATATTGTGACCTGTTCCAAGTATACTGTTTGGTATTGTTTTCATGTTTTGGACCCTATTTAGTAGAGAGCAATAGAGTTAATACCCTGTTGTGGTTGTGTCTCCAAATATTGGTTTAGTCTCAATGCAATGCCTCTTAGCTAATTGCTCTGTCATCAACTAGTTTCATTGGTAAACAATTCAACACTTTAATCATAGGTACTCTTTTATCAGAAAATTATACTCGTTTACCATTATCGCTTTTGATTCAGAAGAATTTTATTAGAATTGAGAATATATTCAACTTTACATAGGTTTTGTTTGTCTTAAAATTATAAAATCAATTCTTGCACTTCTTGATAAAAAGTACATGCTTTAATAAAACACATTTTGATTACATTCAATACTTAAAAATTAATTTTATTCAATTTTAAATTATCGGGCATTAAAACCATCAAAGTTAAAGAAAGGATTGGCCAAACTGTATTAAGGAGTACTATAGTCACAAACAATTTTATTAAAACAGAGCATGCTTTTTCGCTATTCCCTCTGTAGTTGGAAATTATACATAATAGTGTGGGATAATAATGGATATGAAAGTACATGACAATTGACAAATGGTGGAACCGCACTTTGTCATTAATTTTTATTTATTTATTTGTTTCTCCTTAACGAAAAATTGTGTATACAATTGAGGAGGATATCTGGCAAATCAACGAAATGAAATAATCAAGTTGATCAATAATACATCAACTTGAGTGAAGACAACTAATGGGCTCTTTGAAATATTTGTCTGGAAGCATACCCCTGCCATGGAATAAATCTGCAAATGGCTTTATTATATTAGTCTTCCTCATCCACTTCATGAAAAGGAAGTGGTACTATCTTCACTGCTCTAAACTTGCCAGCATTATTTAGATGCTCATTCTCCAATCTGCACCAATAAAGTATTATTTATCATGTAGCATTTGAATGGCAGTGTTGTTGGATCATGGATTCCCTACAGAAGGTTTCTTAATTTGCATTGAAACTTAGAAAATATTATCATAAGTTTATAAGGTCAGTTTTGAGTAATTAAAAAAAATATAACTATTATGCATGTATATTAGTGAAAATAAATGGAAGTGTTAATTGATTTGTTTACCTGAAGAAATTCCACAGCCCTCGTCTAATAACTTCAAGAGCTGCTAAAAATAAGCAAGTTACTCTATAATCAACGTTTTCAAAACTTGAATGGAGGACAGTTTGCAACCAAGCAAGCCTGAGAATAAGGTTTAATCCCTGCATAAAGTGCCAAAGTTGTTGATGGTCAAGGTCTAAAAGTGGAGGGCCCATATTTGTGATCTGAAAAGAAATATCATAATTTGCTTGTACAATGTGTGCTTAATATTATTAGGCGAAATATAATCCCTTGCTATTATTATATTTGTCTTTTTTGACCTAGATTTGGAATCTCACTTTAATTTGTATAATGGCCTTATCAGCATTTCTTTTGAGAATATGTGTTTATTCTCCACTCTGTGATATTTTATTATCATGATCACCATATAGCAAAGGTTACTGTCCTCTTTGCTAAGATGATAATTAGTTTGGCTAATTTTGATAAGTGAAGATAATAATAGCTTTTGAGTGCCAATGATCCACAAACTCCTTAGTAAAGACATAGAGAGGGGCCTGATGTATAATACCATTGACAAGTAGTAAATCACTTTTCTCCGAAGCATTAATTCATTCCTTAGCCATGGATTCTTGGAATTCATTTGAAGCAAACCCCAGTCTTTTACAAAGTCCCAATACAATTGGTATACAGTTGCAGCACTTGACATGATCACAAGGAGACAAAGCCACCCTACACTCCCATCTTTCTCATAAGCCACTTTGGCACCTGCTGCTAACATTGCTGATACATATTTTCCTAGATTCACTAGGTGACTTGTCTGCCCTTCATCAAACCATCTTCTAGCACACTACAAAAACAAAACCAATTGGGAGACATCACTTCTATGATCCATTTCTTAGTTATTGGATTGCATAATAATAAGATACTTGAAGAGACCCAAAAAGCATTAGTGTTTACCTGCATAGCCCTCCAATAATAGGGTAGAAATGACACTGCATAGGCTAAATCTCTATAGTGCTTTGTCCTCATGCAGTATCCATAGTCCTGAGTTTTGTAGCTACCAGTTATATAATAGCATGCCACGTACTCAAGATTCCTGAGCATTGGCACCTGTAAAATAAATTATACAATTATTAATTAAGGAAAATGTTATTATTAACTTTAAAGTTAATTTTAAGGGGATTAATAATAGTAAGATTTTTTAAAAAAATAATACTTGTCACATTTTTAATATAACAATACTTTCTTTTTTAATAAAATTTTACTACTGTCAAATTCTTAAAATTAGTTTTAAGGCTGATGTTAATATGATCGATTAGAAAATCAGCTGTTTTTTCTTTATCATTGAGTGAGCTATTCATTGCCAATAAAATAAAGGGCTTCCAACAAAATACTACCTGACTACAAAGTTGATCAGCCATGAAAAAATCCAGCATGACAACCTAAGGAGACAAGAGGGAAACAAGAGAGGTTATGTCCACAACAATAATTGTTTTTGCTGAATTTATTTTTTTATTTTCATTTTACTTTTGGGAAAATTAGTGACACTGTGTTTTGTGCCTGATGACATGATGCTACAATGATGATAGTGGGAAACACTACCTTGTAAAGGGGTGACAAAATTATGTTCCTTATCACACAAAGGAAACGGTAACGGCTTGACCGGTATATAACGTTGAAGGGACATACTAGGATTAGTAAGAAGCCCTGCACGTGAAGTAAAAATGTTAAATTTCAGCTTTGGTAAGTAACCTAAGTATTAGAGACACTGTATAGGAAAGCGCCAAAAAAACGCAAAAGTGAATGAATGCAACATATAACAAAAATAATTACCAGAAGAAGAAGTCCTGGAATGTCTTGAACTTGGACATAAGAATAACCTTTTGTCAGTAGAGTCAGATGAAGAAACATTACCCCTACCACAATAGTCATTGCCATTGTACAAATCAAGAATATATCTCTGTACTTGAGTTCCTTGGTAGGGGCCAATTCAAAAATGAAGCTGTAGTTTATACGAGTCCTTCTCCATGCAAGAATGTTGCAACCATAAAGAAAGAAATGTAGAAATACTAGGCTGAACATGCTGCAAAATCAAAACAGCAACTTGTTATGCATGCTCGGACATAATTATTATTATTTTTTTCAAAACTTGTCTTAGGAAACTGGCAAAAATAGGCGATTATTTCTTTAAAATAAGCTGAAACATAATGTACACAAACTTATTGATGTTCAAATATTAGGCACATTTTAATGAAATCTTTTGCTATAAGTTAGGTTTAGTTACCTAAGCACAGGGTAGGCAGTTTCCATGTAAACTGAATTTTGATGTGGTCTGTACAGACCAGTTACATGAGCCATTATAGCATATCCCGCTAGAAGCGCCACGAAGCATCCGGTAAATAGTCCTGATTTTATTTGAAAGATAATCAGTTATGTTAAAAATAACTTTTTATATAACCTACACTATTTATGCAAAAATGTTTGGCAATTTTGTATGGACGCACTAGTTAATTCACCAAGGATGAATTGTCATGAACAAGGAACTTTAATTTTGACTATTTTTGTTTTCTTCTAGGTTAATCTTGCTAACAGGATCAATAGGTTTAGGTTTCACTAACAAGGAAGAGATAGTTATCATGGTTTGTGTACAATAATTGCACTGAAGGAAGGTGTCATAGTGTGTGTGAAAGCCACCTAGGCCATGACCAAAGAAAAATTGTTATGTTGGCCTCATAGGTTGTGATGGTCCTTTTAAGGTTCATTCTTCATAAGGTTATGTATGGCCTAAATATGATATAGGGTAGCATGGGACCTGTACTTGGCATCCACCAAAGAGTGGACCAGTTTCTGCCATTCCTTTTTGTGAGCTTAGTGGTTTAAAGGTTCCATATTGTGTTTTCTTTAGATACTAATGGTCACAAAGCAAATGAGCCTAAAGATCTCTACCAAAGTGATTGATAACCAAAAGACAAAATGAAAAAAGTCCAAATATTTGGCTAAAAGTAACTCACCAATGAAGAAAGTTACAGCATGTGATTCTTTGCGCTGGCTTGGCCTAAGGTATTTCATGCCCTTTCGTCGATTATCTTCGGCAAAGTTTTTGATAAACAGTTCCTCAACTTCATCGGCTAACTTCATCACCTGTCATTTCTTAGACTAATAAGCAAACAAAGAAAAGCAGGTTCACAAAGTTAAAGAAACTCTTGTGCAAGTGACAGACAAGCATATCCAATTTTTATTTACATGACTTGAAGTCATCATTTAGTGGTGCAGACATGAATCATAGGATTATTGGCCACTTGATATTGTCGGTGAACTTTCAGGTGCAAGGATAACTTGTGGCCAAGCTCTTAACATGATATGATATGTTATAACACATATCTTTCATCAATGTTTGTCATGATGGAAGTTAGATATTTTAGTATGCAGCAGTTTTAATTTGTGCCTGTGATTTACCTTGTCTGAGCTATTGAAATAGGAACTCTCAACCACTTTGAGATAGATAGGAAGAATTTGTTTTGCAGTGACCTGAAAAACCACAAAGAAAAGCTATTTTGTTATTTCACTTACTATAAATGTGTAATTGAAAATTCAATTTTAACATCAACTTTGAAGCCTCTAATCCACTTACCTTGTCAAACTTCTTCAGAATCTTTATAAATGCAAGCATGTTCAAGTTCCTGAAAATTAATACCGTGGAGAAAACATGAAATTTTACATATTTGTCAAGTTGATTAAACAAATAGGTCTATAAGTGGCCATAGAAGTTTGTGATTATATTTATACCTGTAGACTTTGAGATATCCTAGTCCTTTGTAGAGTTCAATAAAGCCTCCTTTGATCATCTTTTCAGCATGGTGCAAATTAGATTTGTTTAGATGAATTTTTCCACCTTCTGGACCACATTTCCTTGAAGACTGATTGAGCAAATCTTCCCTGAGCAGGTAGCTTATGGCCGAAAAGGTTCGAGACGGTGTTGTCAAAGGAATGTTTATCCTCAGATTCTTCCCTTGGCAATTGATGATGCGGCCAGAAAGTGTTCTGAATTTTCCATCGTCTCTTTTTATCTGCGTAGTCTTCCCAACTTCATCTGCACGAGGGGAATCTGAAAATGGGGCTTCATTTTTCTCTAAATCTTCAATGCTAGTAGTGTCCTGCACTTCTTCTTGCTGTGTTCTGTTCCTAACAGAGTCCTCCTCTGTTTTCAGTAAACAGAATTTGAGATACACATAATTACTCATTTGTTCCTTACATTATGTTTCATGTAGCAAGGATAGAAAAATTATAGTAATTTTTGTATCCTATGAAAGTGATCACTATTGCCTATAAAGTTTTTATTTTTTTTCTTTTTTCATTCGACCACAATTAGGAAAGAAATGTGTTGTCTAACCATGTGATAAAATTTAAATGATTCACTTATGATAAAGATTTCATATTCAAATGCATATAGGTGTACATGTGTGCCCACGTGACACACTCGTTTAGGAGCAGATATGATGACAGATAGATAAATGAATATCATATACATAATTGTAAGAACATGATTGGAATGGCAGTTAAATCGTGACTAAATATTCAAACTAAGCATATTAAATTCTAAAATTGATCCATTAAGAGGACATGGTCAGTTATGTACCATTAGAGAATGTGCAGGAGATAGATTGGTCCTCCTTGGAGCCATGGGAAGAGCCTGCTTTACCCTGCTGTTCCTTGAATGCAGATTTGAGCATAAGGAGAATGTCCATTTGTTTTTTCAAGGAATCCCCTCTATCCATGAACTCCTTCTCCTTTGTTCTATAAAATTTATTGACCTTGTTTAGTTGCTGGTCCAAACATGCAAAAAATTCCTTAGTAGCATCAGTGTCAGCAAATTGCTCAAGCAGTTCAGTCTCATACATGTCACCATTAAAAGATGATGAGGCAAGTTTCCTATGGACCTGAAAAAGACCAAAACAGCTCTCATGAATCAACCAAATACACAAAACAATATTTGAGAAACTGTTTTTAATGTCTTTAAGAAAGAGAAGTTACTTGAATTGGTCCATGATCTCTATGCTGATGACCAAATAAAGAGTAGTTTCTTAGTGATGAAAAGATGTACTTGGGTACAGAACGAGTACTAATACTACTACTACTAGTTTGGTGCTTGTTGGGTGTATTGTTGTTGGTATTATTAAAAGGTTGGACTTTTTTAAGGTCCTTCTTGAGTTGCCAGTAATCAACAAAGGCCTCTTTCCATTCAGGAATGAGTTGGCCCTCAAACTGCTTAGAGAACTTGACCATCTTCTTCTTCTATGTATGTTCTTTGGAAGCTTATAGAGAAGAAGTGTTGTTGTTGTTGTTGCCTTGTGAGTGCTCAATGGAAGCCCAAGATGACATTATATATGGGGTTGGAAAAGATAATTTGATTGAAATTGTGGTACTGATGCTCTTGAGCACATTCTATAATATACTTAGATCCTATGCTTCTCCACTTGAGATTTGGCAGGTACAATGGCAAGGTTCGCCGGAAAGTAACCAAACCACCACCGGTTAGGATCACTTCTCGGCCAACATGTCTTCATGAGGAATTTGAAAAGCGTGGGAATTTAAAGTGGATTTGAGTAGGGACAAATTGGACTATTCAGAATACACATAGAGCATGACCATGCTTTTTCATTTTGGAGGAACCGTATAAAGTTTGCCACAATAATTCACAAGCAAAAATCATTTTGAGCACAAGAGGTATTAATAAACACACAATAATCAAAGGGGCATTTTTGATATATAAATGTGATGGTGTCCTATAAGTTAAGTCAAGAATTGTTCATTGGTTAAAAGCGAAACATATTGGCTAAATTATTTGCTAGCACACAAAGGTGCCCTCTAATTAGCCCAGCCTGATTTCCACTAATTCAGGATAAACTAAAAGCTTTTCACAACCTCTCCACTTTCAAGCACCCCCTCCTTTTGTTTCAATATAAAAGTTTAGTCCATTTCTCACGTCTAGGCCTAGCAGAAGATGCACTCATCACACTCACAAGGATTCAATTTCGCCAATTCTTGGCAATTCATTTCATAGACCTTGATTGATCAGTTGTATTGACAAGTCAAATTTGTACCACAACAAACCATAGGAGAACATAACCACCTCCTGCTTCCTTATTTCCATACCAAAATAAGAATTTGTCCAAAATATGAAAATAAAAAACCAACAAAAATTGATAGCATCATGAAAATTTATCCAACACCCATTTGTACACTCAGTGGCACGTTTTCGTTCTTTAAAATATTAGAGATATAAATTAGGCAGTTCCCAGTATGTTACATTGAGGAATCTTTGTACGTTGGAAATAGTAGATTTGGCTCAACTTTAATACACGGTTTTCGTATGGAATAATTCCTCCATACTGGATGTCCAATGTACTTAGGATAAGTAGCATAAAAATGTGGTGACATGTAATAAGGGTGCTAATATATTTGGTATACTATAGTACCTTGCTAATAGCAGTAGTGGGTGAGTGAAGGAGCTTCCGTGTTCTATTCTTTGGTTCTAAACCCACTAACTAGCCAACTTGTGAACATGATGGGACCTTCCATGAAAAGCTACATAATTTGTAACCTGTAGCCGTTTCACTCCTACCTCTCTCAAAACACACAAACAAAGGTGCCATCTTTTCAGTTTTCTTCTTAGACATGGATTGCAAAATCACCATTATAATTGTGGAGAACTGACAGCGCCACCCTAAGATAGCCGACTCAAAGATACGCTATTTTGGGTTTTTCTTTTTTTCTTTTCATTGGGGCCTCTCTCTCTCTCTCTCTCTCTCTCTCTCTCTCTATGTTCTACTATTATTATGTGCATGAAAATATATTTTCACATGAAAAAATATTTTGTTTCTAAACTTATTATTTGCGCATGAAAAGTATATTCTTTAATACTTTGCAAAAATAAATGTGGGTTTATTCATAAACTTATATTAATTATTCATGCATCCGTACAAGGTTATTTGGATTGGTAAACAATCTGTGTAATATACACAGTTAAGGCACAATCAAACAAAACTCAAGCATTATCTACCACTTAAAATAAATATTCTTTCCCATATGTGACATGTGAACAGAACTTCATCCTCTCAGCCTAAAAATTGTACAAATTAAACTATATATAGGGAATTATGTGCATATGGTGTCGAATCATTGCTTAAATAACACAAAAAAGGTAGAATTTCTAAGAACAGAGGAGCTAGCTAGTCTAATGATTAAAGTAGTGAATTTGTGTGCTATAACCAAAATAGTAACTCAAAACACGTGCAATAGGTTGTATTCTAACTCTTGTTTATAATTAATATTGATCAATTTGCATGGATAAGCTAATTAAGAAGAAAAGGATAAACATATAATATTTCTCCTATTATAGGCAAATGATTAAACGTAAGAGAAACATATATTTCCACGTAGGAAAAGATAAAGTTACCCACAAAATCTGAGGGTTCAGGTATATGGCGCCAATGACAGGCCATGAAAATGATGGTCTGATTAGGATAGCATATAACATTTGGTGCGCCCATGCAGAGCCTCTACCCAATTCCCACCAGTGTGTTCATTCCTTCTACATCATTATTTACATTATCATGTTACATTCTACTCCGTTTTTTTACAAACAATGGCATTCATTTGACCCTACATGCCTTTTGATCTTGACCTTTGTTTGAACACAGTGGGCCAGTCACAAAAGCATTTCCATGAGAAACAAACAGTGTTCTTTTTGTTATCTTCATTAATTTCACAAAATTAGAGGATCAAATATCTACATGTTTGAATCAAATCTCTTGACTTGTGTTTGGATTGGGTGTTGTTTTAAAATACTATAAAATTTTAATTAGATAATTTTTATTTTAAATAGAAAGAATTTTAAATAACTTATTTTTAAGAGAGATTAAAAATTTCTCAATTATACTTAACTTTTTATATTTGCCGTTCATAACTCTTCTCATACTTAACTTTCATTTTAAACATACTTTATTATTGCTTTCATATATTTTTGAAATTTTAAAATTCTTTATCTAAACACAACTTTAGAGTGTGACATTGTACAATTAAATTACTTTCTTTTATTTGTTCTATTGAAAACTTTGAGAATTTAATTTATTGAGTAAATAAAATCTTCCTAATCAAGCCTCAATTATATTTTAGAAAACAAAGGTTTCTTACTTTTTAACGTGTATCAATAATATTTTACATCTGATAATCAAAGATTAATTAATTTTAAGACGAAGATTATTAAACTAAATTTTATTTCTCAGAAACTTTTAATATTAATTTACTCATATGTTTTTTTCTTATCAAATTTAAACTTAGAGTTAATTTTAAATACTTATATCAACACCAAATATTCAAATAGCATATTTTTTTATTAAAAATTAGTAGATATTAAATTTATTTATTTTCTTAGTTATATAATTTCAAGTAAATGAACAAAGTAACTAAAGATGTACTTTGTTTAGTAAGTAAGGATGTGACACCCACTTTTTATTACTAGAGTTAAAACATTAAGTCAGCATCTAATTAATTAAGAGGTGCGTCCTTAAAACTGGTCATTGAAACTTAATTTTATTTTATAATAAAAATTAATTTGATAATGAAATGTGAATGAATTGATTATATTTTGGTAAAATTACTAAAAACTTATAGTGAACAAGTAATCAACTGAATTTAAGTTGTCTGGTAAAAATATATGAAATTTAAATGACAAAAAAAATATGTCATATTATATTAATATAATATTAAAATTAAATAAAAAAGAGTAATTTAAATTTTTTACCTATGTGTAATTTTTTTAAATGGTAAAAAATAAAAGTAAAAATAAAATAAGATTATCAATATCAATAAGCTATAAGTTAAATGTTGTTTCAACAAATTTTTTAAAAGTTAATTTTTATGATAAACTTCTTTTATTTTGTAGTTGTTAAACAATTTTACTAGCTTTTTTTTTAAAAATAAACTATAAACTCTTAAATAAGTTATAAATTCTTGTTACTAAACACATCCTTAATACTATGTTAAAATCAAATTTTTAAAAATTTAAATTATTAGATGCAATACACTACAATAAATTGATTATTTATTAACAAAAAAGGAAAATTATTAGGTGTTAGTATAATTTTTATTAGTATAATTTTTCTCTAAAATTATCTTATGTTAAAAAAACAAGTGTCAAGGTTTAATTTGATTATTTTAATGAAAAATAAAGAGCTGAAAATGTTACTTCTTTCTTAATGAAGAGCCATTAATCATTTAATAACACTTTCTTAAACAAGTACTATAAAAAGTCGTCTTTCATATTTTTTAAAAATAAATAAATAACACCATCCTAAGAAAGTTCTTAATATACATGTGCCTTTTAATATCACTTATTATAAATGAGGTCTTAAGAACCATTCAATGCTTTAAAATTCTTAAACACCTTTTTATTTGTTTAGAATATTACTTGTACTCACATTTTGAATAAATTTATTTCCTTATATATATATATATATATGTTTTTTTTAATTTATATTAAAAAAATAAAATAAATAAAAATGACCAAACAAGGATATGAACTTTGGTTCGTATCATACCATAGCATCAAATTGTTATATTATATTGCTAAAATGTTATCCTCGAAACAAATAACAGTTACATGGTTAAATAATAATAATAAACTGATGTGTTGATCCATATATGCTTAAAAACAATCATAAAAGAATTTAATATTAAATTTAAACAACTAAGTTATGTGGCAAGACATAAATTTAAATAATTTAACAAATATTTTTGTTTCTATTAATTAGTGAATTAGTTATACTGACTTTTTTTTTTATTTTAATTCGAATAGTAAATAGCTCATTTCTTTATCTCTCTCTCTGTGTGTATATATATATATATATATATATATATATATATATATATGTATATTTTTCCTATATATTGTAACTGAAATCTTTCAAATTTTACGGTGAATGAATCTTAATATTTAATAAGTTATGCTCTTTTTTTTTTCTTGTACAAGGCTATTATGTTTAAATTTGGCATGCTATGAAAAGTTTCATTTATTTTAATACATGTTACGCTACTTCATTGAACTTTTTTATTTATTTATAAATTTTATTTTATTTTTTCTTTGTATCTTTTATGCTTTTGTTTCTTACTTCTATTTTGTATTTTTCTCTTCTCATTCTTCTTCCTTGAGAAATCTTGAAACATTTCTTAGGTTCAGGTTTTTTTTATTAATATGTGGTGAATCTGGCTTTTGATCCATCAAA